AGATGTGACCTGCAGAGGTGGCGCTGAAGAAGTAGTGACCACATTGACGACTTGGAGATTGTCTGCAGATGTAGCGCTGATACATTGGAAGCCATATTGATGAGTTGATAAGAGATTGGTGTTGGGCTGATGAGCGCTGGACTCAGGGGAACTTTGAAACACTTTGTATTCATATTTCTGATAATATAAGTTGTGAAACTCGGTCCTCTTCTTCTCTACCTTTGTCTATGGTTGATACTATTGATCACTGCGCGTGAAGTTGATGCATGACATGTACACATTTACGTGAGATGGTCCTAGGACCCATGCACTCTGCCATCGACCGCAAGGTCGATAAGTTGACAGCAAGTCTTGATTCCCTGACAGCGAGTGTCAACAAAATTCTGCAGCATCTGCAACTCCTTGTGCCTCCTTCCCAACCTCTCCAACCTATCCCAAAATCAGCTTCACCATCCCACAGTCGTCCAACTTCACCTACTGGTTCCCATGTGTCCACTACCTCTGTTCCCTCTGGCACATCTGATCAGCGGCAGCCCAAGCTGACGCTACCTCCTATGTACTCTAGGGAAGACCCCAAGGTGGATGTTTCAGACTGGGTTACCGCTATGCAGGCGTACTTGGGCAGCTTCATTTGTCCAGAGGTGACAAAGGTAGGGACGATTCTGGGGCGTCTGGAGAGACTGCGCTGAAATGGCGCACATCCTCTGCAGCGAAACAGAATCTGCCCATGGACAAATGGGCACAACAGCTGAAGGTGGAGGGGTTGCTGCAGGCCCTGCGAGACCGGTTTGCAGACAGGGAACAAGCCCAAAAAGCAGCAGATAAGATACTGCTGCTGGGCTCACGCAGGTTTGAGGGTTCCCTGTCCAAGCTCTACAGTCTGTTTGAGAGGTTGACTGCTACACCCGGTCTGGAGATGAGTGAGTCTGACCAGCTCACTCACTTCCTGCGCGCAGCGCCTCCAGACTACTCCATAGCTCTTTACTCTCAGGGCCACAAGGACTGGAGGTCCTTTGGCAAAGCGGCCCTGGACCTGGAGTCTCGGCTCAAGGTTCAGGAACCTTCTGATGGAAGGAGGCGGCCCACTTCCAGGGGACAATCATGTTCATAACAAGATGATACTGGTGTGGCATGATTTCATAGTGTACACAGGTTACAGCCTCTGATGGGTTGCGGAGAAGATTCTGGACTGTACTATTGGGAGCTGAATTGGACTAGGAGGGGACTTAGGAGGGGACTTAGGAGGGACAGTCTCTCAATAGGTTAGGGTTAAATGATGGATTGCGGCTCTGTTCTTGGCTACGAGGACAGTTAATCCCCTGGCAAGAGGGCAATCAGTGCTGTTATGTTTTTAACAATCTGCTCCCGTCTTGTCAGTGGAACGTTGAACTCAGTTTCCAGTAGGTGCAGCTCCCCACCAATTGGAGCAATCTACAAATGAGGTGCCTGTTATTGGGGGTTGCTCATATCACCTTCTATAGGAGGCCCGTGCTGATGTTTGGAAAAAAAAAAACATCAGAAAGAAAGAAAAAGATATGATATGATTTCAGAGATCTTTGAGCGAAATATCTTGTTCAATGTTCAGTGTGCAATGCAAAGTTGCAAACGCATGTCCTCGACACGACGGATGCAGTGACAATTTTCTCTTGTTTTTTCCCCTGAAAAAGAATTTGCTGCCCATCCTTTTTTTTTTTCTTTTTTTTTGAAGTCCATGTGTTGTAGAGGCCAGTCACTGAGTACACAGTGATCACCTGGAGCAGTAGGTCGTGGGTGTCCTGGAATAAGGGACCACCTCCCATCCCATCCTCACGTCGATACTCCTAGCGCACCCCCTATCCCACTATCCTACCTCAGTGTGACCAGCACTCAGGACCATTACCCTACCAATGGGCAGGTAATTTGGACCGAACAGCAGTGATAGGTACCAGGGCTGATAGGTTGCCCAGCCCTGGTGGAAGCAGAATCGGACGAGCCTTGTCGAATGGGAACTTTGGACGCCAGGCCCAGACAATCTACTACAGGCCCCAAGAGACTCTGGGCCCTAGGATTCAGACAGGGTAGAACCCATTGAAGCAGTCTTACCGTCCTTCCCCTAGCTTACCCAAGGCCAGGCGGAACTCGGGCTGGCCTGAGCGACATTATACCCCTACCCTTACCCCAGGATCTAAGCCTTATATATAGTCACTAGACTGTCCTATTCGAATATCAGTAGGAACTCCGCTGGCTCATACCTGTCCCTACTGCCGATACTAGACCCCACCAGTGACTAGACCCCCGCAGTCTGATAGCTGTATAGTTCGCAATCTATGTGTGTGTACCCCGAAGGCTACGTATGCTTTGTGTATCTTTGTATCAAGATGTACAGACATCACCATATGTGGAAACTTGTGTATGTAGCCCGTAGGTCATGTATAATTCGTAAGCTGTGTATATATGCCCGAAGGCTGTGTACGTGGAAACTTGTGTATGTAGCCCGTAGGCCATGTATAATTCGCAAGGTGTGTATATATGCCCGAAGGCTGTGTGTGCTCTGTGAATCAATGTATCAAGATGTATAGGCAGCGTCATGTGTGTATATCGAAGAGAGAACGGGGTAAGCTGGACAAGGACCCCCCCAAGGTACGAACCAAGCTCGAACCCGTGACCTTGTAACGTGTAATCGAATGACTCTACCATGTGAACGACTAGCGGAAATGGTACGAACGTGTGATATGCCAGACTGGGGAGATCAACAGAACACCCAAGACCAACAACCCCAAGCAACCCACGCGAAACCCAGGACCAACATAAAACACCATGAACAACCCTTGGGTGGTGCGCAGGCAGTGTCTGTAATAGCTAACCTGCGTCATCCCAAGGGGTGTGTGTCCAGCCGTGCGTCATTTTAACGCCCTGCCGATGTCCATGCACAAGGCTGCGGATTTGAATCCGCAACCTCATACCACAATGCGCATTTCCAACCGGTGCTCTAACCACTGAGCTACATCAACTGGACACCCAAGACCAACACCCCCAAGCAACCCATGTGAAACCCAGGACCAACATACAACACCATGAACAACCCTTGGGTGGTGCGCAGGCAGTGTCTGTAATAGCTAACCTGAGTCATCCCAAGGGGTGTGTGTCCAGCCGTGCATCATTCTAACGCCCTGCCGGTGTCCATGCGCAAGGCTGCAGATTTGAACCCGCAACCTCATACCACAATGCGCATTTTTCGACCGGTGCTCTAACCACTGAGCTATCCGGAGCTTGTGCATGTTAGAAAGAACAAGGAAAAAAGGGCCTTCAGCATCTGTGCCACCCCACACCATACATTCACTCACTAAATTCTATCACTGTACTCCTCTGTGCTGCCCTGGTTCTTGTGCCTATCATCGGTTCAATTATTAATCAGTTGGTTGTGCTCAATTCCTAATTGAGTGGTGCTCAATTATTAGGTGATCGGTGCTCGATCGTTAACTGATTGATGCTCATTGGCAGATGTTTCCCTCCGTACTTTGCGTAAAGGTATCCAGAAGTGGCGTAGCGAAATCAG